CCAAATCCACATGTTTTCTCACTGGGACGAACCAAACACGCCGCTTCTCTTCCCTGCCACTCACTTTGTCACTCATCTTCGCTTTAGCCTTCCATCATATCCGTCCTCCTCCATCAACAACTCGACGCGTCGACAACAAACCTATCAGTCGCATCCACCACGACATCTGTCGCGTCAACACCACAACTTCATACCTTTCTTCAACGACAGCTGATTCAATGGCCGGAGGCAAGGGCAAGAGTATTGGAGGGAAGGCGACGGGCGCGAAGGATGCGACTGCAAAGCCTCAAAAGTCGCACAGCGCGAAGGCCGGTTTGCAAGTGAGTTGACCCTTGACCCAGATTCGCGTGAGGCAGACTGTGTATGCGCGACATCACATTGTCAGCCACCAAGGACAGTTTGGTGATGCCACATTGCGCGTACCTGTTGCGGCTGCAGTGGGCGTGTGATTATATCCGCCTTTCCCACTACGAGCGCAAAGACTTGCGCTATATCAATAATCGCTGAACAAGAGCTGATCACTTCTACCAGTTTCCTTGCGGTCGCGTCAAACGTTTCCTGAAGAACAACACCCAGAACAAGATGCGAGTGGGTGCGAAAGGTACGGCTCATACCCAAGCTCCTCGTGATCGACAAGTGCACTGACACTCTATCTTGCAGCCGCCGTCTACGTTACCGCCGTCCTCGAGTACCTGACCGCCGAAGTCCTCGAACTCGCAGGCAACGCCGCGAAGGATCTCAAGGTCAAGCGCATTACTCCTCGACATCTGCAACTTGCCATCCGCGGTGATGAAGAGCTGGATACGTTGATCAGAGCGACTATCGCCTTCGGTGGTGTCCTTCCCCACATCAACAGAGCGCTTCTCTTGAAGGTGGAGCAGAAGAAGAAGAACAAGGCAGACGCATAAATGGTCTCAAGAATCCTTCCCAGCAGTGTCTCCTAGGCGTTATCTATTTCTGGTGATGGACTGGATCGTGGCGGTGTCTAGTCATGGATACGAGTGAATGAGGAGAACAGTATTGCAACAACAATAAGAAAGAACACTGCGTGTGTTAGGAGGCCATTATCGAGCTCTTCATGGGTGTGTCAACAGTGCTTGTTTTGAAACGAGGAGCCTGTCGCCCTCTTTGAGTTTACCCGAGTTGGGATTTGTTATGAATCGACAATACCCTTTCTTTTCTGCGACTCACCCATTCATTGGATCGTCATAGTTTCTGACTGATGATAGGCATGTGGCGTTGCTGCCGCTACCTAAACTGCTGCCTGTCGGCTTATTGACCGGCGCGCCTTGTTCGTCCTCCGCTCCCAAGTTGTGTGACTTGCTCGTCCTTCAACTCTCGATTCCATGAGCGGTACGGAAGACGAGCATCACTCGGTAGCTCGATCCTGTCTGTCCCTTCTTTGCCAACATTTGCTTAGCCGCCCTCCTTCCGCTCCGGTGGAACTCTGCTCTGGCAAAGACTGAGAATCGTCGTGAAGCACTGTCTCCACTACACGACGAGGGTGTTTACTTGGTTGATTCGCGTGTGACAAGACTCGAGCAATGTTTGCTCTCCTGCACGATCGACCGGTCCACACATCCTTGTACGATGCTCTTCGTTCTTCCAAACAGCAGGATTGGACAGAGCCGCGTTGGTCGCCTCGAAGCGTGAGTGCAATTGAGCCTCTGTGCGACTACCGTGCCACATTCGGCGGGATCTCGTTTCTTCCTTCACGCTATGGTGCTCCCGGTCTACACGACGGTTCCGTCATGATACGACCTGTTTAACAAAGTACCTGCTCCGGGACCTGCCTCGCATATCTGTCTTGCAGCTGCAGGCCAGCATCACCCCAGTCCGGACGTACCCTCTCTTCCCGCTCATGCCACAGAGAGCTATGCCGCTGCTCTATCATGGTGTGGGCTTCGTTTTCCTCACGTATTGTTGGAGCCGTTTTCGGCGACGGGCACATCAAAGATCCAGCCACGTCACTCACCACAGTCCACATCATGGATAAACTTCCGACACTGCGAGGTTTCAGGGATGTTGTGCAATTGTGTCTTCCCCTCGCCTCAAATGCGACACGGTTCCGGTCAATCTGGTGGGGTTTTGGACCCTCTTCCAGGCTGAGAATGGATCTCTGAGCGTCGACCCTGCCAGCGACGTTCTGCCACCTACATGTTACACAGGAAACAGTGTAACAAGCCGATGAGAATTACCAAACATGCCTGCTCTATCTCCTAACCCCTAGCCTCGCCCAAACTCAGATTCCTCCTCAACACCTGGTTCAACAGTGCACAGGCTCCCAGAAGGCCAGCACGAATTCCCTTGGAATGTGATGTCCGTCCGTCTCTTGGACTCTCAAAAACACAGAGCCTTCCCACCGCGGCCTCTCCCTATCATAGAACCACCTCGGGGCCTCCTGTCAAGGTATCATATATCCCTATTACCTTTCCAAGCCTCGAGACCTCCACATGGTACTATCCCCGAATCATTGCTAACATCGTCGTAACTCATCTTGAGATCAGAGACGATCCACGTCGCAGCACTATCCACCCACAGGCACCCAAGTCCGGACGAACGCATTCTGCGCCACCTATAGAGCCAAAGGCCAGTCCCTTGGCACCTCATCAACATCTCATCTTCCCGGCAAGAAGTCGTCCGAGGCAAGAATGCCACGAAGATCCCTCCGCCACTGGATTGACTCCCACGGCAACATCCATTGGTACGACTCCAACGCGGATTGGAGCGCAGATTTTGATCTCGAAGGTAAAAACGGCACCAAAGGCACCCCCAGCTCAAAAGGACAACGGGTAAGGTTCTCAGGATCGACGCGTGGCGGAAGCTACAGTCCAAGTCCACGTCGTGGTGGGAGCGGTCGAAGTCGTGGCAGAAGCGGGTAAGCCCAGCACGTAATCTCCCAAATGGGTTCTTCTCTCTTTAGCCCTTCGCGTATCGCACTGGGCACAAGAGACAGACGGTTGACATTATAATGCGCTTGGTTGGTCGTTTGTTTGGGGCGGTTGGTTATGGCCTCCTCCTTCACCCCCTTCGCTTCGGGAGCCTGCTGCGCGCGACCCGCTACATCCTGTCCCGCCGCCCATCCAACGTCCGCAGTCTCTTTCTGGCATTGACCCTTCCCTCTGCGTCACAGTGATCATGATCATCGACACGGCCGTCCCAATCCGAACCCAAACCCAAACCCAAACATCCACCACATATACAACGATCTCACGGGGACTTACGAGCCCTACGAATTCCTCGCCACAGGCGGTGCGAGGAGACTGCCCCACTGCCGGCACGGACTGACCAGGCTAGAGTGCGAGCGGTGCGGCAATGAGTACGGGGAGGGGCGGCGGCGGCGGCGGCGGCGGTCTCCGAGCCGAAGACGAGGCCGGGGTCGTAGTCGTCGTCGCAGAGATCCGTGGGATGACTTTGACGACGACGCCGACTTGGATTATCCCTCAGGTCGGGGCAGGTGTAGGGTTAGGCATACGGATGGGTATGGTGGGTATGATGGGTATGATGATGAAGAGTTTCATTTCCCGAGTGGCTGGGTCGGGTGCGGGACTTTCTACGGGCACGACAGCGACGGGCGTGAGATTCCCCTTACGTATTATGACGAGCTGACGGGGCGGTTGATGAGGCGCGGCACAGGGGGTAGGAGAAGAAGGACGAGGAGAAGGACGAGGAGGGGATCACATCGCCGGCGGGACAGGATGCCGGAAGAAGATATCTGGCGAGAGATGGATAGGGTGGAGAGGAGGGCTGAGGAAGCGGAGCGCTGGCTTTGGAGCGAGTACGGTGCTTGAGGTCGTATTTGTATATGCTGTGTCTATGAGGAGAGTGATGTCCAGCGAAGAGAGCCTCCTGTGTCTATGAGGGGGAGTGATGTCCAGCGCAGAGTGCCTGCTGTGTCTATGAGGGGAGTTATATCCAGGGAAGAGGGCCTGATGATTCCATCGTCCATGTAATCACATGCAGGTATATCGATGGGTGAAGTGGTTGGACTGAGCCTGAGGAATGATAGCCATACATAATTACTGTATCTGCATGTTGAAACCCGTGTTTGTTACTGTACAACACATTCTGGTCAAGCACGGATGAGGAATAAAGATCAAGACACACGGTACGGACGACAGTATCGAAGAATATCACATAGTAAGTGATATAAGGCGATTTTCTCCAGCTCCAAAACATCAGGCACATGTAGGTGCCTAGGTATGTGGCTGTACGGAGTACCACAGTATGTACATGGTCCGTACGAGGTACGAGGTACGAGAGCCTTGCGACTTTGATCCGAAGTAACGACTGCCAAGACTTCCGCCTCGAATTCCACTCACGTCCGACTTGCTCTCTGCATGTCCACTAAAGGTAGAAGATGAACGTCAGTAACGTAAGCGGGAGCGCAAATTTACGCAAAGCTCCAGCCTCAGAAGGGAATGAGGTTCTTTCCCTGCGGTCCAAAGGCGATTGGTCGCAATGGCACCTGGGTGGTAAGCTTTCCAGGAGCATGGCGGGGTGACAACACGGAGTACAACATCGGGGGAAAACCGGGAATCATGGGAACACCTTTTCATGTTGATGTTAGGGAGGGAGCCATCGACATACTTGGGCAAATCATGATACTCCCCTATTCTCGCCAGAGCTGGATCGGTCGAAGGCAGGAAATGTGAGCCAGGTGACTTTCCCTACAGGACGTGTATTCGCGTGTCATGGAGAGCGTCCGACACGATACTTCTCCGTGGTGACTGGGCGTCGTTCGCTCATGGGCCCCTGCAAGGCAGAATCATCGACTGGATATTCAAAGGCAAATGTAATTCACGTGGCCATTGGATCTGGCAAGACGTGGAGGTCAAGACGTAGACTGACCCTTAGCGGGCTTTGGGAGGGAATTTCATGTCGAATCCGAAAAGAAGCCATCAGTGTTCAGGCTCGCCCGCTTGAGATCACCATACCTCCCAGCCGCGCCGCCAGCTCGTCTCGGAGGACCCCCCCCCCATCCGTCTCCAGCAGAATGGTCAGATTGTCTTTCTGGCTTTCTTCCTTTTCTTGTAGCTTCCCTGTTCTCTTCCTTTCCTCTTATTCCCCTGCTTGGCTTTCGGGTGGTCCATCGCAGTGCCTCGCATGTTACGGTGCTTTTGCTCGATCGCCTGGCGGACTTGCCGCATTTCTTCGTCAGAGTTGACGTCCTTTGGCTGATGCGACCGACGTTTGCCATGACTTGTTGGGGTTTGATGACCACGCGCCGTGTGAGAGTCTGAGGAGCGATCTGATCCGGATTCATCATCAGATTCAGAATGGTCATCAGCGTCAGAGGCAGAGCTCAGATCTTCGTCACCATCCGCTTGGATCCGATCTGATGGGGTTGCAATCCTCGATTTCCGCTTCCGGAACGTGCCAAAAGTCTGGCGCCCGCTGGGTTGAGCGGCGGTCCAAATATCGTCTTCGGATGAGCTGGCTTCTCCCTCTTCATGTTGGTCCCCCAAGGCGTTGAACCTATTGAGGGCGGTATTGCCATCGCGATTGGTCTTTCTGGCCGAATCTGATCCCTTATATTGTGGTACCTGCACTTTCACGTCAAGGACCCATTCTGTATCTGCCTCCTCGCGCCTGAACGTACTGACTCCACCTCGTGCCATAGTTGGAGAGGCAAGTCCATTGGGCAATTCGTTCATGGGTGTCCCTGGAATAGAGGTCACTGGGGAAGAAGTAGTGCTTTCGACTCGACGTCGCTTAGATGACGGTTCCGTGGCCGGAGTGTGAGTAGTAGAGGACGCTGCCGCAGACGTCGTGGGAGATGCAGCCGCGGCTCTTTGCATGAACTATAGGTTGCGCGGTGGCTTGTTTAGAAGAATACCTGTGCTGGGAGGGTTTCAAGTATCGTGACTCGACGACTGAAGCCAATGGGAGAGAGCGAGCTTACCTTCATATTCAGCAATCGCGACGACATCTGCTTCCCGTGCTGCGACGATGGCGTCCGCGCGAGTTCAGGTGTACTGAAGCCGGCCATTCTGTATTCAAGAAATGACGCAGGACAACTTTAAGCAGGACGTGAGGCGCAAGAGACAGGTCCTAGATTGGACAAGAAGGTCGCTTGCGGAGTAAAGTTGTCACTGTGAAGCGCGACGGTCATCCCAGATTGAGAAGCTGCGACAGTTCCAAGTGGTGCAATCATAAGGTAGTGGTCTCCTGGACGAAGGTGCTCCGACCGATGCGCTCACAGCTGACGTGGTACAAAATGGGCGACTTCAGCAGAGAACAAGAATGCTGGTACTCCGTACTCCATGCTCCAGAAATGTGCAAGTGACGATGGCCAGCCTTGCCGGCCTGGAAAATTAGTTTCGCCGAGCGGGTTTTACCAACAAGGCCGCGCGCGCATGCCGGGAGAGATCAGGCAACAAGCACATCTTAATTAAGATCTGCCTCTATCATATTAGAGCCTATGTGGCATGGACACATCTATACTGATGGAGTTATGGAATTTTCCTCCTTGCAAGCAGAAAATCGCTGCAAAATGATTATGACCACCACTTTACGCCGATCTGAGCAGCAAGGAAGCTCAATACCAGAGAGGACCATGGAATATCTCCCTCTTGTATTGTCCAAATGAGGTCTTGCACATTGCCAGGGCCCGTAGACCGTGAGGTGGTCCCAACGTCCGGTGCGCGGTGAGCATACACTTGCTCTTCCTGTACCTGTGGGATGGATAAAACATGCTACCATTCGAGGTTCGGTCACGGCTGCGTAGTCGAATTCCCAATTCAGTTTTCCCAGCCACTAAATGCTGTCGCTAGTGCATCAAGGAGGCCAATGGGGTGCTGGTCTTGTTCGAGCGTCCTAACTTGGTACTTGTCGGCGAGGAGGCGCTTGAGATGAAACTGGCGTCCCTATCTGCAGGCTGTCGAATCACAGAAGCAGCCGACAGAAAGCAAGGAATGTGATAACCAGTTCAGGTGGTTTCGCAGAATCTCAGAGGCCAGCCAATGAGGCAGACGTGGACCATATGTTGGTCGAGTCCGAAGACTACATGACCTGCGCATCTGGCCGATGGCCCTCTAAGTCGAGGAAACGTGTGGATCATCTTTTCTCGCCCTGGATTGTTGCAACTACTTTTCTTGAATGCTTCGCCGCCCGGAACTCCAGATACCATATGCCTTGCCAGGTGCCAGTGTTCAGGGTCCCATCTGTGATTGGGATTGTCACGCTTGCACCAACCAACGCAGACTTTATGTGTGCCTAGTGGGTGAATCAGTGACACACTCCGCTGCAACCATCATCGTATACCTACCGGCATATCGTCCAAGCCTTCCGCGGAGTGTCTGTATAGGTTGCCTTTCCTATCTTCGGGAGCTATTCTGTCCAGGGCATCGCTCATATCCTCCCGCACATCACTGTCCCAATTCTCATTCAACGATAGTGCACACGATGTATGTTGGATGAAGAGATTGAGCAACCCGACTTTGTAGTCCTTGATCTCGGGTACCGACGACACCACATGATCCGTGATGAGATACGAGCCGCGTGATTTTGAGGGCAGTGTGAAGGTCTTCTGAAACCACGATGTGGACATGTCGTCGTAAGTATTGTGCGGAACGCACCCTGCGGGACAATAGACAACGACTGGTGGGTTGTTCGTGTTCCTGAAGGGTAAAGTGAGTAGATGGTAAGGCAGGCCTAGAAGGTATTGCGGCACGCCTGGAAAGAGCGCGAGGACCAGGATCAGAACAGAGACCAAAGTAAAGTATCTGTGTTGCGTGACGTCTAGAGCAGGCATATCACAGCAGTAAAGAATGGAGGATGGTGGAGCGACGTCAAAGACCCGGTGCTGCGACGTCATAAGTGTCTGCATTCCGATGAGTTTCTCCGGCTCCGGATCCTCACTCTCACTTCACTTCTCCCTTATCTCTACCATCCAGTGTCTGAGTCCATACCGACGAGAGAATGACACTCCTGGAAGTTGCTTGCTTCAATGTGCAATCAGCCATCGTCGCAAATGAGGCTGGAGCAGATCGAATCGAGCTGTGTGACAACGCGGACCTCGGGGGAACAACTCCTCCGCTGAAGTGGCTGGACGAAATCCATGGCATAGTCAAAATCCCCATCAATGTCATGATTCGACCCCGAGGCGGTGATTTTGTCTATACGGATCCAGAGTTCCAGATCATGAAGGATGCCATAAACGCCTTCAAGTCTACGAAGATGGTCAGCGGCTTTGTCTTCGGCGTCCTCAGGCATAATCGAACCGTTGACGTCGAAAGAACCGTCGAGCTAGTCCGTCTTGCTGACCCGCTGCCATGCACATTTCACCGAGCCTTTGATGAGACTACTGACCTAGATCAAGCTTTTGAAGATGTCCTCGGTTGCGGAATACATTCAATTCTCACCTCGGGTGGAGCTTCGAAGGCGGTTCACGCCTGTGAGACGCTGGCACGGCTCGTGAAGAAGGCTGACGGCAGGGTCGTTGTAATGCCAGGCGGGGGTGTCAGATCGACGAACATTGGTGCGCTAAAGGAATCGACCAATGCCTCAGCCTATCATTCTTCAGCGTTGCTAGGCTCAAACATGGTGGCCAACGCCCAAGAGATCGAGCAGATGGAAATGGAAGTCCGGTAGCGACCTTGTCTGCAGCATTGTTATCAAAACTCTACGCAGGTGGCACCTTCAATGCCTAACTTGGCTCGACTATGTCTAAGTCACTCTTCGGTGAACTTCATGTCACTCTCATTTCGGACGCCTGGACTTTCGCCTTCACACACTTCCGTACCACAAGTCTCTTCTCGAATGGGAGATCCAAGCCTGTGATCTCAGGCAACCAGATGTCGATGGCTGTGACACCACGAATGTAAGCGCCACCCCCAGAAGAGCTTGAGCGCGCTCCCGCCCCCAGCAAACGGATTTGATTGAAAAGGTGTACCCACCTTGTCACAATCTTCACGGAAGGAAATGAAACTGAGCAATCGCGACCAATTTGCTATACAAGCCCGCGGAGAGAATACGGACCCAAGGGCATGATGCTGCATCCGTGGTGACGCCGGTGACCGGACGCCTAATAGCAGGATGCCGCCGTTCGTTCATGGCAACGCCGAAGCGAACGAGCTTGACTGAACAATTCCCAGATTCAAGATGACGCAGGAAAGGGCACCCACAACTGTGGAACCCCAGAAAAAGAGCATCCGTCGACCGACGCTCATTAAAGCGAAGGGAAACCACTGCAGCACGGACACATCAGGAGGCAGACCTATTCCGTTCCAACCAACAGATAAGTAGAAAGGAGGTATGGTGTCTGAGCTTCCGAGGAGCTAGTCGGGTAAACCCGTTCTAGCATGCAAGCAAAGGGCAACATGGATCAGCGAATCGAGCTCACTAGCTCTAATGGCTACGTGGCAGGCTTTACAACGTTGCATGCAGCATTACGAGCATAAAGACCCCTTAACAGAAGTGATCACCGTAAAAAGTACGCAAAGACTTCCTTACCTCTCTTGTGATCTGTTCAAAACTCTGAGAGCTGTATAAGAGCGGCTGCAGTCGAAACGATACGTACTTTCGAAATCAGTAGGGCCGCCCAATTATCCCAGCACGGAATTTAACATCGCTGGGAACACGTCCATCTCCCAACGTCAGTCTCTTCCCGCAAACGGTAAGCCCTGGGAAAGCGAGCCACGTCTGGAGCCTCATGCATCGAATTAGCCAGCTGGAGAGGGCTAAGATGAAGGCGATAGACAGTGAGACCGGGACAAGAACGCAGACTAGGGGCGAATAAACCTCGGGTCTCGTCTCCCACCATTTATCCCGTAGCACTGCTAGCTAGTACAGGTATCTCCTCTCCCCCATCCAGCCACCATGCTCTCCTTAGTCCGCAATCCCGCTCATCAAGCTGCCCACGACCACTCCAAACGGAATCTGGAGAAAAGCTTAGTTAGCCAGCCCAGCCCAGAAGGGACGGATCAATCCGGGTACGGGGTCCCGAGAAGGCGGAAAGTAACTTGTATACAGCACAAACATAATGGCGTCACACCACTTACAAACCCCCAGTGATTCCACTCCCCGCCTCCAATCTGGCGCTTACTCACAAACCCGTCCACCAGGGCGACGCCCGTCGCGCTCCACACCAAGGCCGTACACGCCCTGTGACTGCCCCAGAAACTCGTGGACAAGAGGCCCACGCCCAGCACGAGCGTTCTCGAGCCGTATAGCATCATGAGCGATTCGGCGAGGCGGCCTTCGGGGGTGTCGATGATTTTCGTGATGTCGACGTCAGCGACTGCGGGCTGCGAATCCGACCCGGAGGACTGATCGTCCGTGGATGAGGCGACGGCACCCGGGTGCGGGAATCCCCACATTGCGAGCGCGCCGCGAGGGTTCAGCAGGGCGTTGATGCCCAGACCGGCGGCGAAGAGGCCGGAGGCACGGGCAATGTAGTACAAGTAAGGGGAGCGGGAGGTGGGCATCGTGGGTTTGGGCCGGGAATGTTTGGACTGGGCGGGGGCGAGAAAGTCGATGTGGTTCGTGGATGAATGTCGACGGCCCGGAGGTATGTTGCGCTATGTTATGGTCTGCGATGAGTCGTTGCAGGACTTAGGCGTCGAGAGTTGAGAACATGAGTTGTCGAGAATTCGTACAGAGTCCGAGCACGTACAGGCAGGGCCGGCGGATTAAGCTTCATGCTGCGTAACCTTGACCGGAGGCGGCTACTGTACGAGTAGGTCAAGCTAGCGTCGTACACTTGTGCGAATGCGGGGGATTAGGGAAGAGCTGAGCATCTGGAGTCTTGTGTGAGGTACGGAGTACAGACCCAAGTACGGAGTACAGAGTGTCTGGTACCTCGTACAGGACGGTTGTCTCTGACGTGATGTGTCTGCAGGCGTGGTCTCAAGATAGTGTCTCCTGGGCTATTCACCACGACTACAGCTTGGACATGCTATGACACTGATTTCAGACGTCAAGCTGCGATGCGTCCGCTTACCAGGTAATATCTTCCCCGGCTAGTATATTCGAGCTGGGACGAAAAGGGTCATGCCAAATCAGCGATACTTGGTGGCCAGACAAGTGAGTAATGTCGAGTCCTGTCAGGACTGGTCTCAACGTCCAGAGTGAGGTACTCGTACATGCTCGTTCATTCACGTTGTCAACATGCATGCACGTCTCCTCTGCAGGCGTCGAAACGGTGATGCAGGCGGCCTGCCATGTGGTTACTTAGGTGTATTTGTACTGGAAAGTGGGCCTGAGCTGTCGTGCCACTCGCATTCAAGCCTGGTCGGGTTGTCAAAGCTCACAGCAGCTTGGGGAATACCTGGCAATGCTGCAAACAGTACACCCTTGGGATTATCAAGTTGCAGCCTATCTCACTCCGGGTCGGCCACCAGCAGCAGGAAAGATGATTCGGGCGATTGATTTGTAGGAGAGCCTTCTGATCAACGTTTTCAGGGGAGTATACTGTACATAAGTGACCGGTGCCCAAAGCTTCGCCACTTCAAATACAGCATGGTAACTTGCAAAGCCAGGTCTTAAGAGTTCGACAATGCAGTTGCAAACGGATTCGGGACAGGTCTCAGTCAAGCGGCAATCAACTCATTCCACGGAACCCGTCCGAATTCCTTTAGACGGGCTCATCAAATACGAGGTACTCCGTACCTACTCCGTACTCGTGGCCGAAAGGTGCATAATCATGGCATGGTGAAAGTCAAATATCAAGGTGGGAATTTGTTGGCAAAACACGTCTCCACGATTCAATCCGTGCTCAGCCTTCACAGCGAGACACTGGATATGCATGTTGGCGGCTTTGAGAGCTTCCAAATCGCCATATATAAGATTAGCGAACCTTCTCCCATGCGACCCAATGCGCCTCTTCTCTGATCACATTGCGGCACTCTCAGCTTCTGAGGCTTTCCGATGAAGCTTTGCGCGATGCTTTGGCCCGTCTCGTGATGGAGACCGAGGCGCCGAACAAACGCTGTTCGAGTCTCAGAGCAATCTTCCCAACTCGTATGGTACGGCCTTTAATTAGAAAAGACGTCTGGGCGGGTTGATGGGCGCCTTACCCAGTACGTACCTGATTCGGCCCGCGGGAAGAAATTAGTGTTCCGATGTGAAAGGGCATCGATGCTTCTGGAGATTAGCGTTGGGTAGGCGGCCCCTAAACCCTTAGCGCCTACAAAGCTCGCCTAGGCCTGGCCTGTTAGCCTTAACCGTGGATACTGAGCGTGCAATCGAGTCAGGGGAGAGACGCCCCCGCAACGCTACGCGAACACAGGCGACTTCCACATTCACCGTCGTCTTTCTTTGCTGACCTTCCGCCTTCAACAACACGCCTCTACACGATTCGACTTACCGTTGCGGTGCATGTACTGGACCATGACAGCAACAAAGTCAATGCCAACGGCTGCCATGCGACATCTATCATATGGTCTCTGACATGGACGGCCTCCGAATCCGAGATATGACGCGCTGAGTCCGTCCCTGTCACCCCTGTCTCAGCTGCCCTTGGCTCCAGTTATGTGGCTCTTGACAAGTCTCCCGTTTCATTAATCTCCTGCTAGGTCTTCTTGAAGGCAAGTCAACCTCCACCAGCCAAGAACGTGGTCAGCCCCATCATCAAATGGCTATGCACGAAACCTCCTTTTCCCTGCGCTTTCCAATCTCCTTTTGCCGAGAATCGACCACATGGCGCGCCAGCGCAGCCACAAGCCTGGCTCCACCAACTGAAAGAAAACAGCCGAGCCATGGCTCAACACACATCGGCCGCGTGCCCCTGTCTCTTTGCGACGCGAAATCACAGTCAAGGTGGGTAAGATCTTCTGTCTCGGGCGTGCAAAGACGGCGGGAGACCTCGTTCCAGGTGGCGGAGGCGCGTCTGAGAATCATGAGATGATGACAGTCAAGCACTCCATGGCTTGCATCAAGCGACGCCTCGGAATTATGGCTAAACCGACAATGAGCCGCCTTATTTGTACATGTTGTAGGCGACCTCCATCTTGTTGCTCTTCCTGTCTCTACATTCCTTCTCACACCAACCGTGATTTTGAAAGCAGTTGCTTTCGTCCCTTCGTTTTTATTTTGTCACTCCTTTCCTAATGAAGTCACTCCTTTACACTGCGGCGTTGTTGCCGCTGGCTTCCCTCGCCGTGGCAGGGAAGCCGCACGAAGTAGACGAAGTCGTGGTGGTCACAACAACACGAACCGTCACCGTCTGCCCGATCACAGATTACTGGACCTGCGCGCCTGACGGGCCAACAGGAACAGGGGCATGGGACGATTGGGGCTCAACCTCTCCTACGGGTGTCGTGACCACGACAACGAAGACGGGAGGCCCAGCTACAACGACCCCGGGGAACGGAAACGGAGGCGATGATGATGGTCATGGTGGACATGGCGGCCACGGAAGTGGCTCTTCCACCACCCCGGTTGGTCCGGGGACCACCTCGTCATCGAATGACGACGGTCATGGCGGACACGGAGGCGGTCCTGGTTCCTGGACGTCGTCCACCACCCCAGCCGGCCCTGTAACCACTTCTTCATCGACTGACGACGGCCACGGCGGGCACGGCGGTGACTCGACCAGCTCGACCACAACAAGCTACAACCACGATCATCCAGGCGGCTCAGACTCCACCACGAGCTCTCCTGTTGCACCGACTCTGCCAACGTACACTACCTCTGCAGGGACGACCTCAAGCCACGGTTCAGATGGCCCAGGCAAAGACAGCAGCACGAGCTCTTCTCCTGCGGGCACCCACTCGACCAGCAGCGCCACGACCTCTGCCGGCGTCACCACCTCGGCGTCGTTGACCACAAGTTCCAGCACCACTAAGACTACCACGTCATCCACTTCTTGCATCCCATCTCAGACCGTCTCGGCTCTTCCCGAGACGGGCTGCAATGACAACACCGCAAACGACCGTAGCAAGTGGTGCGGCAAGTCCGTTGGCGATGATACACATGTCCATTATGAGTCTGGCGACACCAAGTACTTCCAACTCACCATCACTTCCGGCCAGGCCGACTTCGACGGCACTTCTCGCCCTTCATTCTTGATCAACGGCGGAACTCCTGGTCCTCTGATTGAAGTCAACTACGGTGACTGGGTGGAGGTGACAGTTACCAACTTGATGACTGACAATGCTACCACTATTCACTGGCACGGTGTGCGACAGATCGACACCAACGATCAGGACGGTGTCCCTGGTGTTACTGAGTGTGCTATCCCACCCCTTGCTGTGCGTACCTACAAGTGGCATGCTTCGACCTACGGAACTGGCTGGTACCACTCTCACGCCCTTTCCCAGTATGGTGGTGGTATCCGAGGGCCCGTCATCATCCACGGACCTTCAACCGCCAACTACGACTACGATATGGGCACCGTCATGGTTGATGAGATCTTCTCCCAGACCATCTTCCAGATGGCGTGGAACATTGCACGTCTCCGAGGTCCCCTCCCTGCAGCGGTCAACTACATGCTCAACGGCAAGAACAAGGCAGTCGATGGCAGCAAGGGCAAGTCTGCGGAATGGACCGTTCATCCTGGCAAGAAGCATCTCTTCCGCATCATCAACTCTTCTGCGCAGGCTTCTTATGTTATCCACTTTGACAATCACAAGATGACCGTCATCAGCGCTGATTATACTCCGATTGTGCCATATACGACTGACACCCTGTACATCAACCCCGGTCAACGGTATAATGTCATCGTCGAGATGAACCAGGTAAGTCGCTCCTCCATCTGTGATACTTTTCCGGCGATTAACTGACACTCCCGCAGACTCCTGGCGCTTACTTCCTCCGAGCCATCACGCAAACCGGTTGCGGTACCCAGAATCTGAACAACGGTCTCGGCTCCCTGGCCAACGGTATCTTCACTTACAAGGGCAGCTGCGGCGCGCCGGTTACCGACACCTTGACCCCGACAATTGGCTCAACCCTCCAAACCGACTGCAAGGACGAGCCCCTCGCCAGCCTGGTTCCATTCGTTCAGAAGAACGGTGGATCTCAAGACAAATTCACCTCCAGTGCCCAGCTCCTCCCCGGTGGCAACGCCGCGCAGCAGGCCTTTGACGGCTACGGCCCCATCACCAGATGGTACTTCGGCCCCATGGGTTCCGTCTCGTCCAACACCGCCGGCACCCTGGGCAGCAGCGCCATCACCGTTGACTACGACAACCCGACGCTCAAGAACATGGCCACGCTCCCAAGCGTCGGCTTCAACAGCTCCATCTACTCCAACGCAGTGGTCCTTGACGGCACGCCAGGCGACTGGGTCTACTTCGTCATCCAGAACAACTTCCAGACCTCGCATCCTATCCACTTGCACGGTCACGATTTCTCCGTCCTGGGCCAAGGCAAAGGCACCTTCAGCTCTGCGCAGGCCTCGAGCCTCAACTTCGCCAACCCCATCCGCCGAGACACAGCCCTCCTCTTCGGTATCCCCGGCCAGGGTGGCGCGCCGCAAGGTGGCTGGACCGTCATTGGCTTCCAAACCGACAACCCGGGCGCTTGGGTCATGCATTGCCACATCATCTGGCACGCCGACGGTGGTATGGCTCTGCAGTACATTGAGCAGCCTGATGCGATCCCCGCTTCGGACTACTACACGAGCGAGAGCTTCCAGAGCGAATGCTCGGCTTACGATGCCTACGTTACCGGTGGTGGCGACAAGCCCGCCTCGTATGAGTCTGGCCTGAAGAGAGATTTGCAGCGACACCGGTACGGTGAGAAGCGGTTCGGACGACACGGCATGCATTAGGCAAGGAAGCCAGTACGGGCAGCATTGGAGGGAGGGCAGCGGATGTAGATAATTGATCGTGAGGTACAGGACACGATCGAGCTGATTGGACACTTGAGATGTTGGAGGTACGCATCAGCTTGGGAATCAAGGTTAACATGTCCTTTCCAGTTTGGCCTGTCTGTCTGTATGGAATGGATAGGATCTCTGGCACGCAGCGGTACATAATACGACGACGTCCTGGTTATATTTTCCTTCGTCCCCTAGGATGGCTATGTTACTCGACTTGTTCAACAGGTGAGGTAGTCAGTCAGATTCATCAACACTTTTTGTATAGGAAATCTAGCTTGGACGACGTGTGACTGCCTGCTTTCTTATTGGGAGGTGTTCCTAGTTGCATCCCTTCAATTGAATCCTACATGCTGCGTCGAGGACCTTTCCCGAGAGAACCCTTGCATGATACATTGGATCTCTTCCGGAAGATGGTTTCTCCAGTTCCATGCTTCCCCTTTCAACCCTCCTGTTTCCGCTCCCGAGGCCCTAATTCAAGGTCAGGGGTTGGCTCTAGCCTCGGAGCGAACGACTCTAGACTTCTCTCCAAGAATACGAGCTCCTCCAGTAGCATCCATCACCAGAAACACCTTGGCAGTATCAAAGCGCGTGACGAAACCGCCACCTCAACGAAGGGGCCATACTCATTTTATATCTCCTTTCCCCGGAACCGGTAGGCGAAGGTCGTTGTGGGCACCTACACAGCAAGCACTGCCACTGATCGCGAGGATAAGTAGACGCCCAATTGTACAGTATAGGGAATGAGTACAGAGCACAAAACGGACGATTCTGCAAAGCCAGCGGTAAGCCCCATCCAGCGGCCCGGAAGGTCTAAGACTCTCTGAGAAGTCCAGATCCCCAGTGTGTCATGAGTTCAGCTGCCAAGGACGCCAGACGCCCAGAGCTCAACGTCGGCACCGGTAGTGGCGCCCATACAATATCGTTTTTATACGAATACCAAGCCTGGCTTCAAGCCTCGCCGTCCAGATCAAGCAACACTTCACCCCTGAGCTTGGTTTGACGCCGGGAGAAACGAGTTTTCGCCAAAGGTCCCTTTCCTCGTGGCCGTCCTAGGAACTCTTGCAAACATGTATATCAAGGTGTGTGGACGTTCTCTGTCCCATTCACAAGGCAACTAAGGTGTGTGTGTACTCTCTCGTTTTGAAGCCGGAACACTGCAGACCTCTGTCTGTCTTACGCTCCTTCTCTCAACACTCACGCTCGTTGAATCCTCTGCCCATCTACCGCAGTCTTTGCCTTCTTTCCTGTCATTGCCCACAATGAAGACCTTCACTCTCACTCTCACCTCCACTTCGTACCTCTTCCTCGCCATCGCGGCCACTGCACGCCTGGCCCAGGCCCAATCCTACTGCGACGCCTCGGTCGGCTACGTGCTCCCGGACAGCACCTCTGACTCAGGCACCGACACGTCAGGGTACACGCCCGACAGCGGCGACTGCGACGCCGAATGCCAACTGTATTACTCGCAGCAGCAGACGCTCTACTCGGACTACTTCAACGACGCAGTCACGGCCGGGGGCAACTCGTTCCTCAGCGCCGCCGGCGGCAAACGCAAACGCGACCATCTGCAACATCATACCCGTCGGGCGTCCAGTGGAGCCGCAGCAGCAGCAGCAGCAGGATTGTCGCCACGCCAGAGTGGTGGCGATGGTAGCGACGGTGGCGATCTCTACTTGACCTGCACGGCGGCCGAAACCTGCTTCGTGTACGAGAACATCCCGCTGTGCATTGATATGGCGACGGGCGACTTCACCGACCCGACGGGCGGGTCTGGCAACGTCCTTACGGGGACTTATAATGCTGCCGTGGACACGGGGTCCAGTGGGACGACAGGGAGTGACGACGACGACACGGACTCTGATTCTGGTTCTGGCTCTGGTTCTGATTCCACCGACATAACGTCGAGTGGCAGCAGCTCTAGTGCGTCGTCTAATGGAGCGTCGTCGTCAACCCGTGCGGGAGGCATCACTTTGGGTGCTGTTGTTTTCGCAGCTGTGTTTGCCTTGCTTGCGAATTGAGTACAAGCCTGTGGAAGGAAAGGGAAGGGAAGGGAGGGGGCTGATGGTGACCAGGCAAACATTCCAGGCAGGGATACCGAGCGAGTACACGAGTACACGAGCACATGGATGGCAGGCGGCAGACGGCAGACGGCAGACGGCAGACGGCAGACATTCAGGCACTTATGGGCATGTACCATGTACGATATGAGACGACACACATCTGGTCGCGTAGAACATGACAGCAATGAGACTCTATTTGCAATGTGATTGTCCATTCCGTGCGGTCCATACAGAGTATTGCGTCCAACGTGAAAATCGTCGTCCATGACAGGCATGCCCACTGCGGTCCCAACATAGCCTGCTACACAGTATACAGTACCTTGTGTACCCTCGAGCCTTCACGCTGATTCGAGTATAGTACAGCACAGTCAGTACATTTGCCCGCGTGCGTGCAAGTATAGAGGTAGGTGCATAGGTAGGATCCTCCAACCACCACCACCATAACATCGCCTGTACAGAAATTCCTCATGAAAGCGAATATAATGACCGGTTTTCGATATCCCTACGCGGTATGCACTCGCATGGACTCGCATGGACTCCGTTCTTTTGGCGTTTTACAATAAATTCACGGCGAAAGAAAATATCAAGTCGCGTTTTGCGAGACACAGGTGTGTATGTACTTTGTACTTCAACCTTCGTACTTTGTACATCTCGCCTTTTGTTCTCTCAGCCCTTAGACAGGGGCCTGACTTGTCCGGTTGTCCAGGTGGGCGAGCCAAGTACGCATGAATTCTTGGGAGGGTAGTATAAGTCCCAAAACAAATGCGAGCAGGCCAGTGATCCCCTCTTCCCTAGCTGCGTACGAGAATGCTCCCTCTTCCCTAGCTGTCTACGAGAGCTTACACTTCGATGAGCGCCTAGAGTGCATAGAGAGAGAGGCTCAACCTAGGTGCCGTATATGGTATGTAATTATGTCTGCGTTGTCTTCTCAGCAAGGCGTACTGCAATACGGACGCGGGTGGGGTTTCGGTACAAGTGAGTGCTTGTAGTTGGATTTTGGGACAGTTAAGTATGTGCTATATCATATATCATATAGTAGGATCGTTGTTCCGGTAATTTTAGCTACTTTTACCTATTCGATTCGGGTTCGGCTTCACCTTCGACTTCGAGTTCGACTTCGGGTTCAAGCTTGGACCTGAAGTTGGATTTTTTTTCTGAAACCCTCGAAGTGGTTGTGCAAGTGTAGGGGCTCCTTGATGAACACTTTTGCATTGGGAGGTCGAGAATGGAGCGGAGCGAGCAGAACCATCACATCGAATTCCATGGTCCGTGTGTCTGACGTGTATACGAGGTGATGGTGGATGTACATACAGTACGAAGCGATGATTGACGGCCTTGCTGAAGATCTCGGACCCACGAGTCAGTCAGCAGCTGTCAGGAGAGTGCGGATATATCTGGGACGGGCGTGTCGCTATGCTTCTTATGCTCTTGTGCTGGTGTGCTGCTTCTGGTAGCATATCCTGCAAATCATGCCCAAAGCATACATTTGATATTGAGAATCCGTGCGTTCTGCAGGGATTACGGGGATAAATAGTGATAGACGTGGGAGTCGGAAATCTACGCACGTCGACGCCCAGCCGGGAAGCATCGTGAACGGGAAAGGAAAGCATTTGCCACGACAGGTACGGAGTATAGCCAAGCTTGCCGCCCCGCGAGTCACGGTGCAGACCTATACTGTACACGAATGGGTGTCAATGGGGATCCGTGGTCGAGGAATTCTGGCCGCCAGGAGACGTCGTCGCATAGGGGGATTATGAGAACCTGCGGAAACAGTTGGCGAGGAAGTGATATATATCAAGGTCATCGGCTAGAGTGGACTGGCTATCAAGTCGCGTGGCATCGCTGTCGTGAACATGGGGCTGGGAGCGAACAATATACTCTGCACAGTACAGCTTGGATGGCGTCCCATTGATCCCCTGACATGCGGAATGGAGGGAGGCCGGTCCTCAACAATGCTGCACAGAGTTGTCCTCTCTGGCGGGTCCACGATTATACCCGGTATTCCAAGAGTGTCCGTTCAAACCTACCTTCGCACGCCTCCGCCGGACGTCCAAGTCGGCATGAGATGTAGCACCAAGACTCTTTCGGAACTATGCAAGACGTTGGTAGATTGCTGACAGAGGTGTTCCATTCTAGTGTGTGGCGGGCTTACTGCTCGGTTGTTGCACCCAACACTGACTTGAGCGTCTGGTGCAACTGCGGCAAGGGAGTCACAGGAATTAAAAACAGCGGGATTAGAAACGGAAAGGAATGCATCATACCGCTGTGTACGAAAGTCTTGAATCATGCCTGCATCATATCATGGTGCATGATAGCTTCAGAGCCATGGCTGGAGGGACGAGATGAGCCCTGTGTATCTCAGATCTTGAGCTGCTCGTGTCGTTATACCCTTGGACCCGAGCTCAAGGAGCGGTCCTTGAGCTCCTCCAGGCTCGTTCAAACACTGCTCTTAACTTGACGGCCTCGTCCGAGCTTCGTATCCTCTGCTCTAAGAATCCCTGTAGATCGGTCCAGAATTCACTCGTCTCCAAGACATTCTCGCCACTTATCCCACCAGGCTGAACCGGTTCCGTCGTGCTCTCTACGCCCTCCATCGGCGTTGCTTCACCGCCTGCCGTCTTTTCTGAAGTCGGAGCCGGAGTCGCCGTCGTAGCCGTGCCTTTACTGGCCTCATGTGCCGGAGGCTGTGCCTGAGGAGGCGGATCCGGCGCGCCACCCATGACCATCACTCCGATCTCTACCTCTCCGCCCTTCGCAACAACGTCGCTCCCATCGAGCGCTTCCCGAATGGTCCTCTTACTCGGCGGAATAGGTTTCTTATTCCACAGCAACTTGATCTTTTCCGTGGCTACAACGCTGGGTCCACCCAGATAGGACTGGATTTGTTCTTTGATTGCCTGCAAGGTTGTCGTCGTGGGTTCTATCGAAGGAAGCGTGAGCGTCATGTGAGGATTTCGTGCGGACTTGAGGATCAGGGTGACAGTCGGAGTGGCGGGTTCGGCGCCCGGTGCTGGAGCGGTGGTGGGCGCTGATTTGGGCGGCGGCGGGTGTGGTGGTGTCGAGAGTTTGGGAAGGACATACTGGCGCGTATATTGTTAGCATGCTTTTCCTCCAGGTCACTTGTCGTGCCATGGCATCGGATTCATCCGCCGTCAGCTATCCTTCCGCCAGGTGATTGCGCAAGGCATAGCCGGCCCCCCATTGATGGGAATCCACGGCGCGGCAGAAGACTTACAGGTACTCTCATCTGAAACGTCTTTGGGTCGAAGACATGGTCGGCCTGGTATTTCGACGTTTTGTTATCCAGCGATGTGAGGAATTGTTTTGCGGATTGTAGGTCGCCCATGTTGTTGGCGGCTGCTTGGGCTCGTCGCTCTACCTCCAGGCGGCCGAGGGTTTGTGCGAGGGCGAAGGTGGCCAGCTCGGGCGACGTCTCGTTGATGGTCGTGCTATCAGTCGATTCAGGGTAATGTGAGTGCCGAGGAGGATGCTATGCAGATGCTATGCAGATGCGGTGTGTATTATGAGTGACCAAGGCCGTTCTACACTCAAGTGGTCGTATGGTGGTGGAGGATGTGAAGTTGGAGTGAGGTGAAACTGACATCACCGGTCGAGGCAATGCCACCAGCGGGCGCCAGGTTGGTGCTCGTCTAGCCAGGATTGACAGCTGTGATAAAGAGCATTTCTGTGCAAAAACGGCATGCTTTTCAAACTATAGCGCTATGAATACTACATTAATTCTAGCATAATAACAATCGATCAAGCTTTGAATGGTATCATGTGAAATCCTGCAAGACAAATCATAATCCCGCAAATCGTGAAACTGATAATCCAACGTCAAGATTGTCATGAATCCGCCCTTAGAACGCAGGAATCATGTTCTCGTTATTCCCATCCGTCCCTTCTACGTACCATGCATGGTGGACCGTCTTCAAGCTTCCAAGTCTCTTCAAGCTGGTAGATCGGCTGACACCACTGCCCATCCGTTGAACACCCTGTCTCAAGCTCTTGAATCGAGTGATCGGGGGCCGGCTTACATCATCGACTGTCAAGCGCTGAGGACCCGTAGATCTGGGCCTGGGAGCGACGTCGATATGGTCCTGGGGGATTCCAGCGTACATGTCGCTGTCCGAGTGCGTGACACTGATTTGTGGCGCGATGGGTTCTTTGGACCAGCTGTCGTGGCTTGAGACTGAAGCACGATCGCCGCGGATATTAACCATTTCGAAGCCATCTGCCTCATCTTTCCCACCAACGAAAGAGAAAGGGGTCTCCGGGCGGTCCCCGTCAAGTTTGGAGTACTGGCCCTCCCGCTCGGGCACAGGTCCTTGCATTGCGTTGCTGATCATGTTGATGAGATTACCAGCAGACTGTTCGCCACTTTGTCGTGCAAGTTGTTGGCTTGGGAGGGGTGCTGGAGCGGCCACATTCTTGTCCTTCCTGCTCAACCGGCGGGATAACGAACGTACGAGCGATGAGTTGCGGAAGAGTCGAAATTCTGCTCTCTTGGCTTGGCCAACAAGTGGCAAGTCGTCCCCGTACGGTGTGAATGGCGAATTGACCGTTCTGTACGTGGCTGCTGAGGGTGGGATCACGTCGATCTTCGGGTAAACCGCGTTGTTGGCAGGCGCATTTGGCTGGATGACGAGGCTGGGTCTCATCGCTGGATGGGCTGACATTGGCACTGGGGCTCTTGCCGGGCCGCTTCCATTCGGGCGGCCCTGGTCGAAGGGGCTGGCTTCCAGGCTCGGTCGCTTATATCGTCCACACTTTGTGCAACATCTCGTATGGGTCGATGAGCTGGGTGAGCTTGAGGGACCTGCTGTGCTGAGCTCCGACATACGGGATGAGCTGTGCGAAGCCTGCGATTCAGAGACCGCCCTAGCGTGTGCTGACGGAGTATGCACTGGAGCAGGGGCCGTGGGGGAAGCAGTGGATGCTTGTCCTGTGGTCGTGCGCCTCCCGCAATGGTGACAACCGTGCCCAGTGCCTTGAGTCCCGGATTTCTTTCCACAATTGCCACATTCGCGCGCACCTGCGGTAGACGTCGTGCCTTGGGAAGAAACGATTGGATCTGTCGCTTGACGTTTGTATACTGGTGGGAGTGCACCATCATGCATATCCTTCGCTACCTTGACCGTCTTTGGTTTCTCCTTCTCTGGGACCCGGTGTGCACTTGCATGTGACTTGCCATCATGTAGTCGCAGATTGACCGACTGTCTCAGCTCGGCAGGTCTCTGCGGTGTGGGTGCCTGGACTGGCGCTTCTGATGATCGTGTAAGAGGCTGCGTTGCAGCGACGGGCGAAACTGGGGAGAGAGGAGTGGCTTCTGCACTGTTGGAGATTGGGTCGGGTCTGAAATTTGGGGAGAACGGGTTCGTGTCAGGTAACGGATCGTTGTATGAACTGGGTAGCACAGCTGTTGTGACTGGCACGGGTGGCTGCGCTTGTTGTCGCAGACTCTCATATGGCACAGCGGTCGCGAGCGAGCCTGGAGCATTCGATTTGCCTGGATAGGCCGGCGGGGGTGACTTTGTCAACTTTGTCATCTTGTTGGACGCTGTCGAGTCTCGGACCCAGTATAGAGTCTAAGTGGGAGTAGACGGAAATGACTGGGGAAGGAGGGAGGCTGGTGCTGTATCAACGTGGATGACGGTGAAGATCTAGTAAAGCCGACACGCACAGAAGGATCGACACCGAAGTCCGTGCTCCCAAGAAGGGGCGGGCACTGAGAGAAGGAAATTGAAGAAAAGGCAGGCCGAAATGCAGACTGCAAGAGCTGCAGAAAACAGGCCGGTGAAGAGGTCAACCGTGCGTTAACAGACGGTGAATGAGATGATGATGACAAGGGAGAAGATGGGGAAGATATGAGGCATGTGGGCTCTGATGGTTGGCTGAATCGCGCAGTTGGAAAGCCTCTTGTTTGGCTCCACGGCTGAGCTCGTCGTGGGAAAGCCGAGCTAAACCATGCGCACGGCGCAGGTCCAAAGTCAGGGTTGGGCTCAGGATGGTGCACGGGTAGCAGTCCGGCACCGCAACTGTTTGGCCAGAGGATTTGGGAGCCAGAGACAGCCCAGGCATTATGGCATGGCAGCGAGGCTTTTCGGGTCCTAAAACCGGCTCAACTCCACGATGGAATACTTCGTGCCCAGCGTACTAGATGAGACCGTGGCGGATGGCACAAAGCCCAAAACCACCACACCGACACCACCAATGAAAGCACTGTCGGATTATGCTGCTATCTGGATGGGGGGATTGGTGACGACATCCGGGTTTCTATACGGGCTGCTACGCGTGCGAAGGAGTCTGAAGCTTGCAGCTGAGATTCACGCTATGCTGCGAGTACACGCATCTGGCTGGCTTCATCACCAAATCTGAGGTACCTGGCCCGCGACCTGCATTCGAATCGGACAAAAGCAGACACCAAGCCACGCTGGCCCACCTCGTGACGGCGACCTTGTGGGGGTCTGCGCCTCGCCGAGATGCCAAAATAGGGGCAGCCAACGTCCCATGCGGCTTAGCTCCACCATGTGGCCCTTCCGCTGCTATCTTCGGCACGCCACAGGGTGAATCAGGATCGCAGTGCTCGGCATAGTCGGCATGGTCTTTGTTCCAACTTCCAACTCGCGGGGGACGCGTCAAGGCTCACGAAGTGACCATGAGCCTATCGAATGCGGACATGGTGAGAACGTGTAGGCATTCACTATGCTTCAGCGCTCGTGTCTCGACATGATTTATCATTACCAAGGAGAGGGCGACAGACTGAGTGAAGTACCCGGAAGAAGGGAAGAGTGCCAACTTGCACCATTCCGATCGTCAAGATGGGACTCCGGTTTAGTACTTCTGTACTCCGTATATTCTCTGACCTTGTAACTCGATCAGAGCCGAAAGCCTCGAGAGAATGTGGACACTCGAGCTGGTCCACTACCGTTGACAAACAAACCGTGAGTATTGCTGGCGAGTGCGGCGTTTCGGCCGGCAGGCGTGAGCTTGGCTCGCTGGATTCCTGTTGAAGGGCGATCCTACGCAGCCTTCGCGAGTACGCTCTCTGGGCGAGACTTGAAGATCGGCCGCTGAGTAGCCTGTCATTAATACACAGTCGATGCAATCTACCGCCATGGTGGCAGGATCGTAGCAGGATCGTAAAGCCACATATCAAGATCGAAAGATACTAGTAGCAGCAGTTGCCACATAAGTGAAGAGATCTGGCCCCGCTTCTGCGGACTATCGCTCAAGCATGACATCTACGTTCTGGTTTAATGGTATCTTGGAACAGGATTACTTGCACCTAAGCCGCAATAACAGGATTTCTGCAGATATACTCCGTACTGTCTTCCACGCAGCATGATCGGCCACGAGACGGCATTCCTCTTTTTGTCGTTCCCCTCTGCCTCGCGGGCCACCCTCCATACCCACGTGCGAGTCTATGGTAACTGTATAAATAGAATGAAGTTTGATGCCACAGGGCAGATCCGCCTAAGGATGCATTGACAGGCCTCCCTTGCTCGAGCCGCGGCTGGGTTCACAATGATTCCATCTTTCGAGAAGCATCCCAGCCGGAAGACAGCCTTGCTAACAGGATATCCGTCCGCTGCTCGCCACTAAGCACAAAGTAGCACAACGCCTGGTGGTGTCGCTCGATGTTGGGACGCTGCTAAGTAGTCTGATAGGCCGCTGCAACTCCGGCCCCCAGACAGACTGTTGTCCCGTCAGTTGAGCTTGTGCGACAGGAGCAGCAGGTGACTTTTACCACTTCCTTGGATTCCTCGCCGAGGCGAGATGCATGGCCATGTGCTGTAACATCTGGGGTGCCAATCAGAAGACTGCCCTGCAAGAGCCCGAGACCGCCTTCGCGAGGAGCTGCAGCCCTTGTATCCCCATGATGTTCAACAGGATTGTAGTAGTACCACGGCTGTGACTGTTGGACACTGGACGAGCCTGCAGCGGGTTGTGCCGTGCTGGTGGTCCTAGTTGTTCTGACCGATGCCGTCCTGACCCGCCTGCGGCCAAACGGTCAAATCTAGGTTGCACAATCCCCGTACCATTCTCGGCAAAGATGCAGGTCCTCCTTCGTTATGTTCGTGATGGATCGGAATCGTCTAATATTGGCTCAGCATCAAATCCGTTGCTCAACAGGCCACTCGCGAGTTGGTATCTGCAAGGGCATTTTGTGGTGTGATTGGGAACCGCAAAATTCCCGGTTTTCAGACTCGACGGGCCGACTCGACCATCTGCAAGGGAAAGAGTTCAACGCCATTTATGGTATTCGAAGATAAGAGAATGCTGGCCTGCCAGGATTGGCGCCTGGATAATGTCAGGTATCATACCAAGAATGTAGACAGCCCAACCCTCGTGATGCATGGGAAAGCAAGGAACGCTCCGTCGCCTCTTCGCGCGGACAGGCAATCCCGGCGCAGTGAGCTTCGACATGAGCCTGCCCGAAGCTTGGCATCTTATGACAGCCTCCTCCGGAAACACCTTTTCGCCGCATCTTATGTGAGGCGAGTGTGCTAAGACTGATGACTGTTGAAGAGCTTGTTAACGGAGTGGTCCGAGCCAAGCTTACCTGCAGATAGATTAAACCAGGCGACAGACAGTTGAGGTGCAGGTTGATTGAAAAAAATTCCTATCTGCGGACTTTGAGAGTGCGATTCCTCCTCGGATATCCGCCTTCATTGTGGGTGGTACTTTAAATAGAAAGGAGAGCTGTGGAAGTGATGCCGTCCGCACCAGCAGGAATCTCATCGCCCAGGAGACGCAGACTCCAACACGAATCAAGACATCCGGACTGAGTGAGAGCTGCCAACCTCCAAATGGAAACAACGGTGAGCTATCCGACACAGGCGTCTGGTAGGCAGTCCCGATTCGAGGTTGAATCCCGTTCAAGTTATTGTCAGCAAATGGGAGATCCTCTCAGAACCCGCCCTCATCACCATCGTTAATGATATGCTGACGTAGAAATTAAGCCTAGATACTGTGGGTAGTCGGCTAAAGCACGACGTATTGTGCCATGTGCAGTTGACGCAGTAGGCGAGCATGTGGACTACTGTACGTACTACATACTAAGGTATTGGCGTTAAGGAGACAGGGGTTTGGCATACATCGAGGCGGACGAGGTAAAGGGGGAATCGAGAAAGACACACTAGAAGGACGTAGTGGCCGATAATTGTGCTAATCTATCGATTAGGAGAAATGATAATGCACACTATTGTAGGCTGGCGCTGGGTGGCTGCTGGGAATGCGTGGGAAACTCGTGGTGATTGTTCGCTCCACTAGGTGGCCTCGGGCACATCGCTTCGACTCCAAGGCTGAAGAGTTCTGGAGACTTAGCACTGTGTTTGGGAAGACTTAGGGTCTCCATTTCCAAGACACGATCTGTGCAGCTAGCCTTCATCACCCCTTGGACCTCCTGAAGCGTTGGAAAGTATATCTTCGATAGCCTCTCCTTTCGGAGGCGGCATACCGAAGACGGCATTCCTTAGTACGTTCGGAGCACGTCCTCGGTAAACTGACCGATAAAGATCAGAGACAAGCTGCTCGGATGCGCCTCTAGCCTTTCCCTGCGAGACGTCAGGGATGGTTTCGGAGCACGCACATGTGTATTGTTATCAGGAGATACCCCAAAGGCCCTGCCCAGATAGACATAGAGTGGCCAAGATCCGTGGCGCGATGGTCTCCAGTCCCCGGCTCGAGACACGATGACAACGTACCCAGTACTCGGTCCAACAGCTGAGGTCGCGTGTCATCTGGGAGCGCAGCCATGATATCCGGGCAGTCTCGCGTCCAAGGTCGTGCACATCAAGCCTTCATACTCGTGCTTGAGCTTGGTAATCGAGATGCCGCCCGAGCCACAGGTAATGCGGCCAGGCCGTGGTCGTTGAGTAGCGTATCGAAGGCGGTATAGAAATTCTTTCGCCAGACGGCTGGTGTCACGGCCCTGCGGGTGAAGTGGAGAGCGGCCTGATTGCCGGGCATGACCCTCCTTCATCGACTCCACACGTCTGGTGGCCTGGAGATAGCTTGACGCACAAAAGGGATAGCGCCAGGCCCAGGGACCAAATATAGTACCTCCAGGCAAGGCTATCTAGGCCCCGAAGGGTGTGGCGCTGCGCTAAATCGGAAGTTACATGGAGGAGACCTGAGGCATGTTTGACCCATCCTGGTTCATCCCTGGACTGTGTGGCCCACGCCCTCGGCATTCCACCCCCTATCACGCACATCCGAGGAGCCTTCTCCCACCGCTCATTTGTCCCAAACTCCGCCATCAAAGCTCACCCCGTCCGGCGAAATTAATCGGGATCGCTTGTGTGAGGATTAGCGTGGTTTTGGCTAGACAGCCAGACAAACCACAGCCAACAGGAAACCAGGTTGATCCCGGTTGCAGCGGCATGGCCGCGCGAAGATAGCAAGCTGGCAGCCCTAGGGGAACAAGTCCTGGCCACAAAGGGGTACAGGGGGCACCTCGTCCACTGGCTGGGTTTCTCAGACCTCGGATACCGCGCGCGGATGTCCTGCTCTCATACCTCATACTTCCGCTTGGACTGTTCGG